CCTGTCCATCTGTATACAATACCCCTGCCTCCCTGTCCATCTGTATATAATACCTCTGCCTCCCTGTCCATCTGTATATAATATCCCTGCCTCCTTGTCTATCTGTATGCAATAGCCCTTCCTCTCTATTCAACTCTTTGTAATAAACATGCTAAATATGGGGTGCTGAGACTTTTTCATCCAAGAGCCCAGACCACCCAATCCCAGCTTTTCTGTGTCTGTGTGTCTATCATTTCTTCATCCTATAGTCACTTCTAGTCTGGAATTCAGGACGCAGGCTGTGCAAGGACCAGGCACATTGGGACAAAAATTAAAGAAACTATTAGTGACTAAGTCCTGTCTATTTGGGGCCGACTGTTACAAAGGTTTATGTTTGCTGTCATAGACTGTTTGCTAGAAACAGTGCTGGTGGAGGGATGGAGACAGATGCCCGGGGCCTGCTGGCCAGCCAATGTAGCTAAACACCCAAAATTCAGGTTTAGTAAAGAGACACCCCAAGTCATTGTCTGACCTCCACATGCACAGGCAAGGCCTGACACACACATGTGCACGCATGCACACACTGGGAGAAAAAGAGGGAGAGAGAGAGGAGGGGGCAGTATATTCCTGTAATCTCTTGTAGGACAGGAAGATTCCTGGGGCTCATTAATCAGTGAGCTCCAAAGTGAGGGGCCTATAAAATAACCCCAGCACTTGGGAGGCAAAGGCAGGTAGATCTCTGTGAGTTCCAGGACTCTATCTCAAGGAAGAAAAAAAAAAGGAGTGATACCAACATCAACCTCAGGCTTCCATTTGCACATTCAAACACACACACACACACACACACACACACACACACACACACATCAGTTCAGCTTGACAAACTTAGGGGACAATGTGGGCACTATTAAATTCATTTCTTGTGTCTTTAAAAGCCTTGATTCAGGTGGCAATGTCTGCTTTCTTCTTGTCTAATTAATCAAGGTCTCTTGTCCTCTGGTGTGTGTATTTTTGTTCTTGTTTTTTGCTTTGTTTTGTTTTTTAGGGATTTTTGTTTGATTTGTGTGTGTGGTTTTTGGTTTTGGGGTTATTTGTTTGTTTGTTTTTTGTTTTGTTTTTTCAAGACAGGGTTTCTCTGTGTAGCCCTGGCTGGCCTGGAACTCACTCTGTAGACCAGGCTGGTCTCAAACTCAGAGACCCACCTGCCTCTGCCTCCTGAGTGCTGGGATTAAAAGTGTGAGCCACCACTGCTGGCATGTATTTTGTGTTCTTAGAGCAATTATGTGTCATTAATAAATGTTCAACTCTAAGGAGCAAAAACATCTCAGTTTAAAAAAAAAATTCACTGCCTCTTGACTTTCTAGTTAGCAGTAACAAAGATAACTCCCAGTGCTTAATAATTTAGCCTTTTGGGTGAAGTTCTCGTCAGAATAGGTCGAAAGCATGAATAATTCACAGGTTTGTGAATTATGCTGCCCAGCTGTGCAAACACTGGCCCAAAAACACCTTATGTGCTTACCAAGAGGCTCAGGGTGTCTAGATCAAGTGACTGGGTCACAGTGAAACTAAATCTGGTTCATGGGAGTCCCAGGTCATAGTTGATGCTATCAAACAATACTGCCTGTTACATTTTACAGGTCTCTTCAGGGTGAAATACACAATCCACAATCACCTCAAATTGGAGAAATGAGACTCTAAAGTCTGTGTCCTTTCTCCCACATGTTCACCAAGTGACCAAACCATTCCTGCCCAACTCATGTTCTAGCACTTTAGCCTTGGTGAAATGAGACTGTTTCTAAATTTGCTTTCTATTATGGGACTGAGTATCCTCTCTGTCTGTGTGTGTGTGTGTGTGTGTGTGTGTGTGTGTGTGTGTGTATTACAAGTGTGTCTTGTGGCCATGGAGGTCAGAAGGGGATGTCAGATGCCCCTGCATCTGGGTTTTGGATGGTTCTGAGCCACCATGTGGGTGCTGGGAACTGACCCCAGGTCCTTTGCTCTACACTGGGAATGGCTTATCTTGGTTGATTGGCTTGATGAAGCAGACCTCTGGGTGTGCCTATGGGGGACTTTCCAAAGACAATTGGATCATAAGAACTGTAAGAGCCCTGACCTAATATATTTAGTCCACAGATGGATTCTAACTTTTCTGTGTTGGGGAGAAAACCCAGAGCCTCCTACATATAAACCAAGCGCTGTACCAACTAGCCCTGGGTTAAACTACTGGGAGGTGGTGGAACCATAACTCAGGGGAAGCCGGGGAGGAGTGTCACCAGGAAGTACAGCTTGCTCTGGCTACCTTCTATTTCTCTCTGCCTCTTGGCAGCTGTGATGTGAGTTGGTTTGCTTCACCAAACTTTTTCCACTATGATGGAGTGACTCCTATGAAACTGTGAGTTTAAAAAAAAAATCTTTCTTTTTTATGAGTTGCTTATTGTCAGGCATTCTGTGATAGCAATGAAAAATTAATTAAAATGAAGGTCTCACTTCCTCATAGAATCAACTTTTTGTCTTTCTTTTTTGTTTTCTGTTTGTTTGTTTGTTTGTTTGTTTTGTTTTGTTTTTTAGACTGGGTCTCATTATATAGTCCTAGTTAGCCTGGAACTTGCTTTGTAGACCAGGCTGGCCTTGAACT